TACAGTATTTGCTGGACAGCATTAGGAGCAGACTGATTGCTTTCACTTATTGTCTGGAATTGCTCTTTAAAGGCAAGGATCATAAGCACCTTTTCATGTTTAGTGCTTACTTTAGTTTGACTTAGATGTGTTTGTATCACCCATAACAAGCTGCTAGAGTAGCCAGATTCTGAAATAAACTGGCAGTAAAATGTGTGAGTTTGTAAGACTATTTTAAGTAGATTATACTGCAAACTCTGCTGGGGTGGGAACTGATATGTTGTTTTTCAAAATGGGGGGACAAGTGTTATATAAATCAATACTAATAAGACAATAGCTCAATGATAGATTTAATAGCATAAAAATATTGGACTTACATATTTTTCACATGACAAACACAATATGATAAACTAAATTTATGAAAAAGGTGTTGCTGATAACGACTGCTATATGGATAAATGCTGTGGCTACACAAAACTTAAGTAGCAAGATACAAACCTCTGTAGGTTCTTGAGTAAGCAAACAAATCATATTAAATCAGGAATATGACCTACCTTATGGCATACTTTATCTGCTACAAAGTAACTTTGCTCAAATGCACCTATTAAGATTACCAGCAAATGGAAAATCTTACCTGCACTCCTTTTTTTTAAATGAAGCCCTCGGGGCCTTGCAATGTGTTACAATGTAGTACAGGCCCCTCGGGCAATGGAATGACTAAATCTTTGTATCTAAATGCTGATTTGTAAATCTGCTGCGTGCAGTGATCCTCACCTAGCTCAAATCTTCAAGTCTGACAAGTAGCCCTGTGGCCATGTGACAAAAGCTAGAATCAGACAGCAAAAATGTAGCTTTTTAAATATATAATGATTTTGAAATATATCTTGGTTATTTTCTTACAGTGTGGTGACTTCTACAATATTTATATTATGAGGGCAAAAAAGAAGATATAGAAAACATATACTATTACATATAAAAAATAGATAAAAATGAATACTACTGTTTTAAAGCTGACCATAGACCTTTAAGGGCACTGGATATTCTGGCCTGATTTAAATGCCCTGGGGCTCGTCACTTGGTTGGCTGCTGTCAGGAATCAAGGAATGACCAGAAAGGTGTGGACTGACACAGGAAACGCAGGTTTCAGGTATAGTATAATAAGACAGTTTTTTAGTAGCCACCCAGATATATATATATATAAACGCACAGTGAACAAACCAACCTTCCACTAATCTCAGTAGGTGCAGGAACACAGGCGCAGTCAGGGCTGGAGAGGTGGAACGGTCAGGCCGGCCGTAGGGTTCTGTAATGACCGTTTGGTGGTACCTCTAGTGGTCCCCAGGACAGGATTCCCCAGGGCGCGGAGTCTAAGTCCCAGCCTGCTTATTCACCAGGGCCCCTGATGGTGGGGATGGACTTGGAGCAGACAGGAACCAGATCGCGGCCCCTGAGTACACCTGCTAGTGGTAGAGGGATCCGCCAGAGGTATGTGCAGGTATGGCTGGATCCGTGCAGGATGGATGGATGGCAGAGTAGTTAGCGTGGTCAGACGGGCCAAGTCAGCAACGTGCGGGCAGCAAGGTACCAAAGGAGCAGGCAGAGAATAGTCAAGGTCACAAGCCGGTTCAGTAACTCACGGACAGCGCGGTACAGGGGATCAGACAGAAGGATGGTCAGGCAAGCCAGGGGTTCAACAGGAGATGGTCAGCAGAGGTCAGAATCAAGCCGGGTCAGCAACGAAGCAGGAACACAGGATACCAGGTACAGAGGCTCATGGGAAAACATACACCAAGGCCCAGAGCACAGGCCTGATCATGCCTTAAATACACCTTTCTGCAATCAGCCCCAGGTTTGGCTGATTGTGAGCTTCTGGCTGCTAAGAGCACCCGCTGGTCAGCTCTGGTACTGCAGCCCACACGGCAGGTGAGTCCCACCACCAGTGCTGAGTCCATTCCTGACAGCTGCATTTTAAAAATGTAGATTCAGCTCAAACTAGTGTACATGTCCTCTTGCCTGGTATGGTACTGGTTTCTTTTTCTGTCCTGTAGTGTTTGGCTTCTGAAGATTAGTTTGGTTGTTCTTTGGTGAGTTTTGGCACAAATTGTAGAATATCTTTAATAAATATGATTTACATTTATCACCTCTAAAAGAAATGTATGAACTCTGAAAAATGAAACACACTCTTGTGTTCCCAGCCCCTTTGCTTAAACTTATCTCTTAACCACAACCTAATTCGAAATCTTAACCCTTAACCTGAACCTAACCCTTTAAATCAGCGGTTCTCAACCTGGGGGTCGCGACCCCTTTGGGGGTCGAACGACCATTTCCCAGGGGTCGCCTAAGACCATCGGAAAACATATTTCCGATGGTCTTAGGAACCGAGACACCGCTGCTCTGTCTCGCGATCTGTGGGCGGGATGATATGCTGCCCCTGTAACCTGGCCACACCTCCGGGATCACTCAACAGCTCCGCCTCCTCGCCGCTGATTGGCCACCGGAACTGTAGCTCAGGAGAGGCACACAGGCGGCCAATCACCGGCGAGGAGGTGGAGCTTGGAGAGGAGGAGCCGAGCGGCAGAGCGCGCAGATCGAAGAAGATCGAGGGAGCTGCAGGACCGAGTGAAGAGGAGAGAGGCCAGAGAAGGAAGACAGCTGACAGGTAAGTGCAAATTTTGCTTCTGCAGGCTGTAGATGGGAGAGGGAGAGAGCGAGCCCAGGCTGGAGCAGGGGTCAGCAAGGTAAGTATCATTGGTGTCAGTGGGAGGAATAGTGCCCCATCATTGGTGTCACTAATACCAACGATGGGGCACTATTCCTCCCCCCACTGACACCAACGATGGGGCACTATTCCTCCCCCCACTGACACCAATGATGGGGCACTATTCCTCCCCCCACTGACACCAATGATGGGGCACTATTCCTCCCCCCACTGACACCAACGATGGGGCACTATTCCTCCCACTGACACCAACGATGGGGCACTATTCCTCCCACTGACACCAACGATGGGGCACTATTCCTCCCCCCACTGACACCAACGATGGGGCACTATTCCTCCCCCCACTGACACCAACGATGGGGCACTATTCCTCCCCCCCGCTGACACCAACGATGGGGCACTATTCCTCCCCCCACTGACACCAACGATGGGGCACTATTCCTCCCCCCACTGACACCAATGATGGGGCACTATTCCTCCCCCCACTGACACCAACGATGGGGCACTATTCCTCCCCCCACTGACACCAACGATGGGGCACTATTCCTCCCCCCACTGACACCAATGATAGGCACTATTCCTCCCCCCTACTGACACCAACGATGCGGCACTATTCCTCCCACTGACACCAACGATGGGGCACTATTCCTCCCACTGGCACCAATGATAGGCACTATTCCTCCCCCTACTGACACCAATGATAGGCACTATTCCTCCCCCCTGACACCAACGATAGGCACTATTCCTCCCCCCACTGACACCAACGATGGGGCACTATTCCTCCCCCCACTGACACCAACGATGGGGCACTATTCCTCCCCCCACTGACACCAACGATGGGGCACTATTCCTCCCCCCACTGACACCAACGATGGGGCACTATTCCTCCCCCCACTGACACCAATGGGGGCACTATTCCTCCCCCCACTGACACCAACGATGGGGCACTATTCCTCCCCCACTGACACCAATGATAGGCACTATTCCTCCCCCCACTGACACCAACGATGGGGCACTATTCCTCCCCCCACTGACACCAATGATAGGCACTATTCCTCCCACTGACACCAATGATGGGGCACTATTCCTCCCACTGATACCAATGATGAGGCACTATTCCTCCCACTGATACCAATGATGGGGCACTATTCCTCCCACTGACACCAATGATGGGGCACTATTCCTCCCACTGATACCAATGATGGGGCACTATTCCTCCCACTGACACCAATGATGGGGCACTATTCCTCCCCCCACTGACACCAATGATAGGCACTATTCCTCCCCCCACTGACACCAACGATGCGGCACTATTCCTCCCACTGACACCAACGATGGGGCACTATTCCTCCCACTGGCACCAATGATAGGCACTATTCCTCCCCCTACTGACACCAATGATAGGCACTATTCCTCCCCCCACTGACACCAACGATAGGCACTATTCCTCCCCCCACTGACACCAACGATGGGGCACTATTCCTCCCCCCACTGACACCAACGATGGGGCACTATTCCTCCCCCCACTGACACCAACGATGGGGCACTATTCCTCCCCCCACTGACACCAACGATGGGGCACTATTCCTCCCCCCCCCACTGACACCAACGATGGGGCACTATTCCTCCCCCCACTGACACCAACGATGGGGCACTATTCCTCCCCCCACTGACACCAACGATGGGGCACTATTCCTCCCCCACTGACACCAATGATAGGCACTATTCCTCCCCCCACTGACACCAACGATGGGGCACTATTCCTCCCCCCACTGACACCAATGATAGGCACTATTCCTCCCACTGACACCAATGATGGGGCACTATTCCTCCCACTGATACCAATGATGAGGCACTATTCCTCCCACTGATACCAATGATGGGGCACTATTCCTCCCACTGACACCAATGATGGGGCACTATTCCTCCCACTGATACCAATGATGGGGCACTATTCCTCCCACTGACACCAATGATGGGGCACTATTCCTCCCACTGACACCAATGATGGGGCACTATTCCTCCACTGACACCAATGATGGGGCACTATTCCTCCCACTGACACCAATGATGGGACACTATTCCTCCCACTGACACCAATGATGGGACACTATTCCTCCCACTGATACCAATGATGGGGCACTATTCCTCCCACTGACACCAATGATGGGACACTATTCCTCCCACTGACACCAATGATGGAGCACTATTCCCCCCACTGACACCAATGATGGGGCACTATTCCTCCCACTGACACCAATGATGGGGCACTATTCCTCCCACTGACACCAATGGCGGGACACTATTCCTCCCACTGATACCAACGATGGGACACTATTCCTCCCACTGACACCAATGATGGGGCACTATTCCTCCCACTGACACCAATGATGGGACACTATTCCTCCACTGATACCAATGATGGGGCACTATTCCTCCCACTGACACTAATGATGGGACACTATTCCCCCCACTGACACCAATGATGGGACACTATTCCTCCACTGATACCAATGATGGGCACTATCCCCCCCCCCCACTGATACCAATGATGGGGCACTATTCCTCCCACTGATACCAATGATGGGCACTATTCCTCCCACTGATACCAATGATGGGGCACTATTCCTCCACTGATACCAATGATGGGGCACTATCCCTCCCACTGACACCAATGATGGGACACTATTCCTCCCACTGACACCAATGATGGGGCACTATTCCTCCACTGATACCAATGATGGGGCACTATCCCTCCCACTGACACCAATGATGGGACACTATTCCTCCACTGATACCAATGATGGGGCACTATTCCTCCCACTGATACCAATGATGGGGCACTATCCCTCCCACTGACACCAATGATGGGACACTATTCCTCCACTGATACCAATGATGGGCACTATTCCCCCCCCCCCACTGACACCAATGATGGGGACACTATTCCTCCACTGACACCAATGATGGGGCACTATTCCTCCCACTGATACCAATGATGGGGCACTATTCCTCCCACTGACACCAATGATGGGGCACTATTCCTCCACTGATACCAATGATGGGGCACTATCCCTCCCACTGACACCAATGATGGGACACTATTCCTCCACTGATACCAATGATGGGCACTATTCCCCCCCCCACTGACACCAATGATGGGACACTATTCCTCCACTGTACCAATGATGGGCACTATTCCCCCCCCCCACTGACACCAATGATGGGGCACTATTCCTCCCACTGATACCAATGATGGGGCGCTAGTCCTCCCACTGATACCAATGATGGAGCTCTATTCCTCCCACTGATACCAATGATGGGACACTATTCCTCCCACTGACACCAACGATGGGACACTATTCCTTCCACTGACACCAATGATGTGGCACTATTCCTCCCACTGCAAAATTACAGTTCTGAAGTAGCAACGAAAATAATTTTATGGTTGGGGGTCACCACAACATGAGGAACTGTATTAAGGGGTCGCGGCGTTAGAAAGGTTGAGAACCACTGCTTTAAATGATCCCTACAATACTAGCAGTAAAAGGATCACATTGAGAACAACATGCAATATATAGTTTTACACTTATTTTCATTATTATTACAGGTACTGTAATAAATTATCAAACTATTTATGTTAAAACGCATGCAGAGAAATCTGTAGAAATAAAAATATTTTTTTTTTTGAGTGTTGCTATAAAATAAGCTTTTCAAACATAGGCAATCTTTTTTCCTGATATAGGATGGTAGAAGATGGTGAAAGCCGTCTGCAGTTCACATAGGTGTGACCTGATCCAGCTACAAACAACTTAACTGGTAGCATTCATCTCAAGTTTATGGGTACCTTATTTATACTGTTCAATTTGTGCCCCAAATCACAAAAGAAAATATAATGTTAACGACTTCTGCTGGTGTTTTTTATGTTTATTTTATTTGTTTTTATTATTTAATTACTTTTCACATTAAAAGCAATGATGTGGTACTTTGATTTGTTTTTCATCTAATGGCAAAATTATGGATTGGCAGTAGTTGTTTAATTGAAAGGATTGTTTAACACTTTCCAGGTTACAGTTTGCACCTTTGAGGTCTTTTATGTCTTCCTGTTGGTGTTATCATCTTGCTGTTGCCTTGAACAAAGTGGCCAATTAGAACTAAGTGGAAGAAGAAATACATGAACCATTCTAAGAGGATGCTGATGAGAGACTACGTGAGCAATTCCAAGTGGCTGTTGATAATAAGTTGCCTGATCCATTTCCTTTCTTGCCATCCTCTATATACACCAGATCTGCTATACGTTTCAAAAGAATAGAAAACACTAAAACTAAAGATGTTTGTGTTTCCAATCACATTTTTCCTGTTTTTTTTCTAATAACTTTTAGAAAAGTAGCAGCTAGAGTTCCAGTTGTTTAACCCCAGTGTGTACAGTTGCAAGAAAAAGTATGTGAACCCCTTGGGATTACGTGGAGTTTTGCATGAATTGGGCATAAAATGTGCTCTGAATGTCATCTAAGTCACAACAATAGAAGAACACAGTCTGCTGAACATAATACTACACAAACATTAGATGTTGCCATGGTTTAATTGCACAGAACATGTAAACATTCACAGTGAAGGGAGGAAAAAGTATGTGAACCTTTGGACTTAATAACTGGTTGACCCTCCTTTGGCAGCAATAACCTCAACCAAACGTTTCCTGTAGTTGCAGATCAGACCTGCACAATGATCTGGAGTCATTTTGGACCACTCCTCTTCACAAAACTGTTTCTGTGTAGCAATATTCTTGGGATGTCTGGTGTGAATCGCTCTCTTAAGGTCATGCCCCAGCATTTCAATCGGGTTGAGGTCAGGACTCTGACCGGGCCACTCCAGAAGGCGTATTCTGTGCTGTTGCAGCCATTGTTTTGTTGAATTACTTGTATGCTTTGGGTCATTGTCCTGGTGCATCACCCATCCTCTTCAGTTGGCGGACAGATGGTCGTACGTTTTCCTGCAAAATGTCTTGATAAATTCTAGAATTCATTTTCCCATCAATGACAACAATCCGTCCAGGCCCTGAGGCAGCAAAGCAGCCCCAAACCATGATGCTCCCTCCGCCATATTTTACAGTGGGGATGAGGTTTTAATGTTGGTGTGCTGTGCCTTTTTTTCTCCACACATAGTGTTGTGTGTTCTTCCCAAACAACTCAATCTGGGTTTCATCTGTCCACAGTATATTTTACCAGTAGTGCTGTGGAACATCCAGGTGCTGTTTTGCAAACTTCAAACGTGCTGCAATATTCTTTTTGGACAGCAATGGCTTCCTCCGTGGTGTCCTCCCATGTACTCCATTCTTGTTTAATGTTTTCCTTATTGTAGATGTGTCAACAAAAATGTTAGCATGTGCCAGAGATTTCTGTAGGTCTTTAGCTGACACTCTGGGATTCTTCTTTACCTCATGCAGCATTCTGCGCTGTTCTCTTGCAGTCATTTTTACAGGACAACCACGCCTAGGGAGAGTAGCAACAGTGCTAAACTTCCTCCATTTGTAGACAGTCTGTCTTACCGTGGACACATGAACATCAAGGCTTTTGGAGATACTTTTGTAACCTTTTCCAGCTTCATGCAAGTCAACAATTCTGACAGCTCTTTTCTGCGAGGCATGGTTCACATCAGACAGTGCTTCTTGAAACCAGTAAACCCAAAACAGGTGTGTGTTTTTTAAGGGCAGGACAGCTGTCAGCAACATATCCAATATCATCACACTGATTGGAGTCAAGGTTGGCTCACTCCTGGCTCCAATTAGCTCTGGAAGAAGTCATTAAGCTAGGGCCTCACATACTTTTTCCTCCCTGCACTGTGAATGTTTACATGTTATATGCAATTAAACCATGGCAACATCTAATGTTTGTGTAGTATTATGTTCAGCAGACTGTGTTCTTCTATTATTGTGACTTAGATGACATTCAGAGCACATTTTATGCCCAATTCATGCAAAACTCCACGTAATCCCAAGGGGTTCACATACTTTTTCTTGCAACTGTATACTGAAATCTGAGAAATAAGGCATAAGGATAAAGCATTTAAAATACTGCAGCTAGGTCAAATAAGTCTCCTAGCTGAGCTAATATATATATATATATATATATATATATATATATACACAGTGGGGATCGAAAGTTTGGGCACCCCAGCTAAAAATTTGTATTAATGTGCATAAAGAAGCCAAGGAAAGATGGAAAAATCTCCAAAAGGCATCAAATTACAGATTAGACATTCTTATAATATGTCAACAAAATTAGATTTTATTTCCATCATTTACACTTTCAAAATAACAGAAAACAAAAAAAATGGCATCTGCAAACGTTTGGGCACTCTGCAGAGTTAATATCTTGTACTGCCCCCTTTGGCAAGTATCACAGCTTGTAAACGCTTTTTCTAGCCAGCCAAGAGTCTTTCAATTCTTGTTTGAGGTATCTTTGCCCATTCTTCCTTACAAAAGTCTTCCAGTTCTTTGAGATTTCTGGGCTGTCTGTCACGCACTGCTCTTTTAAGGTCTATCCATAGATTTTCAATTATGTTGAGGTCAGGAGATTGTGAAGGCCATGGCAAAACCTTCAGTTTATGCCTCTTGATGTAATCCCCCGTGGATTTCGAGGTGTGTTTAGGATCTTTTTCCATTTGTAGAAGCCATCCTCTCTTTAACTTCAGCTTTTTCACAGATCTCATCAAGTTACCATCCAAAATTTGCTGAAATTTTATTGAATCCATTTTTCCTTCTACTCGTGAGATGTTCCCTGTGCCACTGGCTGCAACACAACCCCAAAGCATGATTGATCCAACCCCATGCTTAACAGTTGGACAGAGGTTCTTTTCATTAAATTCTGTGCCCCTTCTTCTCCAAACGTACCTTTGCTCATTCCGGCCAGAAAGTTCAATTTTAACCTCATCGGTCCACAGAACTTGTTTCCAAAATGCATCAGGCTTGTCTATATGTTCATTTGCAAAGTTCAAACGATGATTTTTGTGGTGAGGACGTAGAAGAGGTTTTCTTCTGATGGATCTTCCATGAAGACCATATTTGTGCAAGTATCTCTTTATAGTGGAATAGTGTACCACAACTCCAGTGTCTGCCAGATCTTTCTGGAGGGATCGTGCAGTCAAACGTGGGTTTTGAATTGTTTCTCTCACAATCCTGCGAGCTGTTCTGTCTGATATTTTTCTTGGTCTTCCAGATCTTGCTTTAACTTCCACTGTTCCTGATGACTGCCATTTCTTAATTACATTCCGAACAGAGGATATTGACATCTGAAAATGCTTTGCTATCTTCTTATAGCCTTCTCCAGCTTTGTGAGCGTCAATTAATTTCAGTTTCAGTTTTCTAGACAACTGCTTAGAAGAACCCATGGTGCTGATTGTTGGGGCAAGGTCAGATGAGTCTGGGCATTTAAAACCTTTGAGACTGACATCACCTGGTCTTCCCAGACCATGATTGAGAACAATCCATGACACTGGCAGGTCTCAGCTTGGCAAAGGGGGCAGTGCATGCTATAAATTCTGCAGGGTGCCCAAACTTTTGCAGACGCCATTTTTTTGTTTTCTGTTATTTTGAAAGTGCAAATGATGGAAATAAAAATCTAACTTTTGTTGACATATTATAAGAATGTCTAATCTGTAATTTGATGCCTTTTGGAGATTTTTCCATCTTTCCTTGGCTTCTTTATGCACATTAATACAAATTTTTAGCTGGGGTGCCCAAACTTTCGATCCCCACTGTATATATATATATATATATATATTATATATATTTATATGCAGTGGGTATAGAAAAGAATCCTCCCCTCTTTTTCAAATAATCACATTTTGTTGCTTTGCAACTTATAACATCCAAGTGAA